CTTCCTAGACTTGCCCTAACTCTTCATTCCTAAAATCAAATAAAATTTGATTCAATCAAGTCTCAAGCCCCTCAAGCCTCGTGCGCCTCAAGCTTTCAGCGTCCTTCTTCGGCTTACACAATCTTCGGCATCCCTCTTCCCACTCTTGCCAAAACCTAAAAAACCTCCTTCAGGTAAGCTTTCGGTGTCCCTCTTAGGGTACACAATTTCCTAGCTTCGTGATCTCTGATTCCTCTAGTTGAAATCAAAATCCCTTGATTTCAATGGGTGGATAGCTTTAGGCAAAATCCCTTGAAATAAAAAATTGAAATTCTAGGTGATTGTATGATTTCAATTTTAAAGCTTCAGTTGAAATCCTGTGTGATTTCAAATTGGGTACAAAATCCCAATTTTAGATTCTTGCATTCCTTCGGCAAAATCCCTTGAAGCTTTCGGGTACAAAATCCATTAAAATCAAAAATTGAAATCATCCATCGAAATCCTCCTTTTGAAATCCTCCAAACTTCGACGTTCCTCCTTCAAGGGTAAGTAGTCGATTGTTTTTTTTTTTTTGTAATCGACTGTTTTGTAATACTCCAAACCTCATTGTTTTTGTTATCCAACAAGGGTATTCATCGATCGATTTTGAATGTTGTTTAAATAAATGAGGTTTAAATAATTGACCGTTTGTTAGCAACATTCGATATTCAAGGGATTTTGTTGGACACAACCTGTTTTTAGGACACCTTGTAGATATGGTCAGTTGGGGAGATTATATTGAAAATATAGTTTAGATTAAATAATAAATAATAAAAATATTGTTAAAATTAGATTATCAGGTAGTTTAGTTTGCAAAAAAAATAAAAATAAAATAAATTTAAATAAATTTCCAATCTTAAATCTCATCTTAAATTTCAAATTTCAATAAATTTAAACTCATACCTCAATTATGATGTTTCAATAAATATCATTAGTACCTTGAACTTGTCAATTCTGATGTTTTTTAGCTCAATGTAACCATTTTATTGTTAAACATTTAAAATTTATTGTAAAAAAATCAAGAACATCCAATTAGATTCCCGTAGAACTAATTGATACTCATTAGGAATATAATATGTGGTACTAATTGATACTCATTATGAACTAATTAATTTTAACAATATTAGAATACGCATTCTTATTTGTTGGTTCTACCGGACAAATTTTTTTTGGACTTGATTCAATGGTTGAATCTTGTCGAGTTTTCTTTTTTCGTTAATAATCTAATTTTCTAAGAACTGGGTTTGCTGCAATAGGAAGATTCTTTCAAGTAATGTTTCAATAACTCGATGACTAATTCTCATATATCAAGAATTAAAATACAGCTTCTTAGAATGTAATAATCGTGGCATATTAGTCATGAATGTTGATGGACAATGATAACCTAGTCAAAATGGCCATCTACTCTATAGAATCCTATATCTACCCAGTTGTATTGACGTCTCTTGCTTATTTTGTGAGATAACCTCTAGTAGCCATATATTTACACATCCATCGTATCTCCCCTTAGGTAAATATTAATATATGTTTCTTTGATTGCTAATATGCATTTTTGATTTTGTTGGTTTTGGTTACCTTTTTGCCATATTTTATGCATTGATCTTTGTTCCGATGCAGTGATAAAGAAAGATTATGTAATGCAAAATATGACTATTTTCTACAGATAGTTTTCAATCTATTTTCGGCGTCTGAACTTTCACTACCCCTGTAGATGGTGTTTTATACGGGGTTAGTATCTACAACTATGCAGTAGTCGCTGCACCTGACGTCCGCCAACAGGAAATGAAGATCTGTAGAGATACATTCACAAAGTTGTTGTAGGGTGGAATCGAATGGAATTGAAACGTGCTCGGTAATGAACCCTTGATAATTGTTGTGCTCCTCCCAACTAAAATCGTGGCTAACAATAATCGCATAATATTCCCGCATTGATTGATTTAATTCTTGAAAAAATATAAAAATAAAATGGGTGGGGATTAATGATACCTTGTGTAAGAATATTAAAGAAACATTGTATTTAAGGTTGCTGATTATAGTGGGATATTCAAACCAATTAGTTAGGTTTGTTTAAAAAAATTAAACACATTTTAAACTTGTTTGAATCATATATATAGATTTGGTGGTTTAAATTTTGTGGAAAGATTTTAGGAATTATATAGATTTTGTAGTTAAAGGTGGTTTCAATATTACCTATGATATAGGTAGATTTTGTGGTTTAAATTTTGTGGAAAGATTTTAGGAATTACGTAGATTTTGTAGTTAGGTTGGTTTCAATATTAAGTCTATAACATTGCTAGTTAGGGACCGATTTAAGGTAATGTGGGAGGCCTAAAACGTGGATGGGTAAAATGGGAAAAGATTGCAAGGACAATATGGACATGAAATGTGTGGAGGGATAAATAAGGAATTATATACCTCCCCAAATTTTAGGAAACCAATTTTGGCCATGCCATGCAATTTAGAAAAACTTTGGCCATTTTTCTTAACGATAACCTGTGTGTAGCCATTTGTAAGGATTTCCCAATTTTTTATGACCACATTCTACCAATTAAAACTAATTCAAATGACCTAATGAAAGACAATTTGACATTATTTGGGAATTGTAATTTTTTGTCTTTAATTTCAATTGAGGGATTATTTATAAGTGCCCTCCAAATTTAATAAAATCTAGTTTTATCAATTTATGATTGACTCAAAATTTATGGTTCTACAACCATTAAAAGTTTGGTTAAAATAACTAAAAATGGTGTAATATTGAGAGTAAAATTAAAACTTTTTAATAGTTTGGGGTAAAGTTGAAACCAATTCTATATGGTAGATCTTTTTTTAGGTTGAAGTTTGTTTTTGACATAAATACTTGTTTCAATTCAATTTTATGTTGCGTGTTTGAAAGTTGTCTTTCAATTATGACGAGAGTTTTTCGAATAAGAAAAAGAAAAAAAATTGAGGTAAAATTGATACAATTTAAATATAAGGCTAAATATATGATTTAGTCTTTAATGTCTAGAAGTTATTTAATTGAGTTTCTACTATTATTTAAAAAGTTTCATAGTTCCTCTGTTCTAACACCTTTTAATAGTTTCCATTGTTTGTGTCGCAACGTCATCGCGACGCAGAGCGGTCGATGTCATTCCCTAAAGGGTCTCTTTCGAGATAAGGGTTTGGAGTCGCTACCAATCATCTACGAGGTGTGATTGGTCACCTAAAAATGAAGGCAAGGTCTGCGAAAACAGATTATTGGTTTGGGAGTCGACTGAGCGTAGGGAAAGTGTTAGCACTTTACGACACCCGTTCGAAAACGGTACCACATTATAAAATAAAATCATGGCACATATAAAGACTCAAACTTGAGGCATCAAGGTTGACACACTTCATACCACTATGCCCAATCTACTAACAGTGGGAGGAACATTAAATGCACAAAGTTGTTAGACTTATCGGCGAATAGACTACCACCGATAAGCTGCATAATATAGGCACGAGCGTATCTGGCAATGGTTTCCTCATCAGCATTGTCAGCTAGATTACGAAATTGAGAAGCTAGCCAAGGTAGACTCGGCCTAGAGCCTTTGATGTGCGCAGCACCTAGAGTCATCCCAAGTAATGCTTGACAGGTGCCTCTCCAATCATTATCAACACGACCAGTAACAAGGCTCGCCATCTACTGGTAACCCAAGCTGCACTGCTACATCTTGTAGAGTGATAGTGCACTCTCCATCCGGCATGTGGAATGTATGAGTCTCTGGCCTCCACCGTTCCACAAATGTAGTAATGAAATGCCAATCTAATTGGATGAATCTTGGTCTGGCAAATCCGTAAAATCCAGAAGCGCGCAATGCAGGTTCAATCAAAGGATGCAATGGAATGGTGCGATCCAATACTGCCTCTCTACGTCGGCAATGCAACTCCTCGTTACACTGACCTTGCCAAACTATCTCTGATCGGTGTCGAGCTTGGTCATACAATACAGAACGATCGATAGGACTTGGGTTTAATTCCATAATCTAATATGATAGATAATCATTAGTTGGAAACTTAAATTTAAAGTTTAAAACAATAGTCACAACACAGAGAATCAATTAAACTAAATGTATAATCGTATAGAGTTTTTATGAAAAAATTAAATTACATCGACAATTAAATTAACATAAATGATTCAGACTAAAGTTTTCAATTACATCAACATCTATGAAGGTGCTTTCCATCGTCTCGAGGATCAGCTTCTTTGATTGTAACTAAGTTGATTACAAAGCCTGCATCTTTGTTGAACACTTGGTTCTCCCCAATCCATCTCGTTATGAATACGCGAACTGAATACGCGAGCTCCTTGGTCTTCCAAGCAATCTCAATAATGTTGGATCGGGGTGCAATATAGGTAAGTTTGGGTGAGCGATCCAATAATCTTCATGTGGGATTAGCTAAAATTGAGGAGCGTAAGACTTAGCATACCACGAAAGCTCGTAAGGATCTTCAATGTAGTCCTCGTAATTAAAGTTTAAGTGTGAACAAACTGCCATTAAATGAGAACATGGCATGCCATACGTTTGCCACTTGTTGCATGTACATGAACGTCCTTCGGCAATAATTCTCACTATTTGTGTGTTCCCTCCTTTCGAATTGTAATAATGAAGCTCTGTTTTCACATGAAACACACCAACGACTCGATCATAATTGACTACAATGTGTTTGGTGGATCTCGCCGCCCATCTAACAAGTTTATCGTAAGCATACTTGTTAAACTTGATAATGTAAGTTAACAACATTGACATAATGCAAGGACATTAAACAACCGATTAAAAAATACCTGGTGTATTTTTCGTTTCTACTTAAAGCATCTCTTGTCTCCTCCCTCCGTTTCTCGAAATATTTTACGCACCTGTGGAATGTAAGTTCTACCAACGCATGATGGGTAACATCCGAGCTCCTTTCAACACCCCATTAATGCATTCGGAAAGATTGGTTGTCTTCCACCCATATCTAAATCAACCATCATGTGACAGGGTCCACTTCTCAATCCCAATGTTGCGGAAGAAATTCATACAAGAGCTATTCAGTAATTTAATATTTTCCACCTCGTTATACTTTCGAATTTGGAATTGAGCACCGGCACGATATACAGAATCTTTCAATTCGGTACACTTGTATTTATGGTTGAAGTTGCTAGAAACATGTCGTAGACAGAATCTGTGATGCGATTTAGGTCTAGTCCAACCATTATCTGAATTATTAACCGTAGAGATAATACCACCATGTCGATCTGAAATTAAACATATCTCTTCATGCGTAACAACTTTTCTTAGGTTTTTTAAAAACCATCCCCAGGTCTGACGACTCTCTTCGTCTATAATGGCAAAAACAAGAGGTAACAAATGTCCATTTGAATCGACTGATGTTACAATCAATAGGTTCCCCTTATACTTTTCGTAAAGGTGAGTACCATCTATTTGAAGCACGAGGCAAAACTTTTGAGAGGCTGCAATGCAAGGACCGAATGACCAAAATACAGAATGAAGAATGTCATGACCCGGTTGTCCATAGTTCCTAATTTTCCATTCAACAATTGTTCCTGGATTAGTGTGTTTCAACATGTACATCCACTTTGGCAAAAGTTGATATGACTCATCCCAGTCACCAAAAATACGAGCCAAAGCTTTTGTTTTTCCTTCCCAGACCCTCCTATAAGGAACATGATATCCAAATTTTTCCTTGATCAAATCTCGAAGTATCGCAATACTCGTAGAAGGATTAGCTCTCACTGCATCACAAAATTCTCTACTTATCATATTTGAATCCAATTGACAATGACTTTGATTAAATTCTGTATATACACAATAATGTTGGTCCACGTACTTTGTAATCTCCCATAGGTTAATACCTTTCTTAAGAATCGCACGAAGTCGCCAGTTGCATCCATCTTGCCACTTCTTACATTTAACTGCCCATGTAGGGTGTCGACTATACAACTGCGTAAGGGTGGTGACTCTTTACAGCAAAACGTTTGACGATATGTTGCATAGTTTTTTTTTATCATTACACATGAACCCTTTGTACAACATATCATTTTCAATTGTCACTGGTCAAAACATAGACTCGTGTTCTGCAATACTGTTAACACTGTCCATGTCATTAAATGTTTGAGAAGGGATCTCATGTTCACCCTCGAGTTCCAATTCATCAAACTCATCATCTGTCGCTATTCTGGGTTCTATAAACCTATTATCAGCAGTTAAGTCCGTATCTTCATCTAAATTAGTCGTTGGAGGTACAACAAACTAAGGTTCGGAATCAATGCATTGACTATGGTCAAGACATTGGCTGGGTCCCTCGAGGTCCACTGATTCAAAAGGGATATCATGTTCACCATCGAGGTCCAATGGGACATTCGTCATATTTCTAACATTCACATATAATTCCATTAATTGTGGACATGGCGGTGCAATAGAGAACATTAAATTCAATGCATTCTGGTTCTCTAATGGAATATGAATGTATTTAATGGAACCCGATGGTGTTTGATTAGGGTGTCTATAAACAAGTTCTAATTTATGATCTTATGTTTTCTCCTCTCTTTAGGAGAACATATAATGGTGACCTTAAGTTTTCCCCTCTGGAAAAATACTCATAATCAATGTACGCTACAAAACCTACTTTTTTTCTATGATTCACATAAAACTTCGATTCTGACTTGAGCATCAAAGTGTGTGTGGCTAGTAAAACATTGATGTGTAATCTTTCTATTTTGAATATTTCGTTGAATTCTTTTTATTTTAGAGGATTGATGCAAATTTGGTAATTTTAGTAGGCCAAATTAATATATCAACATTTGGCGTCGTTTGTGGGAATGACAGAAGCAATGCTCAAGTTACATAAAGAGTGCTCAAGCAAGAAGTGGCAGAAGAAATGCTCAAGCAACTAAAGAGTGCTCCATTAACAAAAGCATTGTTCAAGCGACAAAAACCGTAGAAGTAGTGCTCTATCAAGGGAACACGCTGATCATAGTTTGACATAAATGAGAGTATGAAAACCTTCATAAAATCCCATAAGGAGAGCAACAAGATTTGTACAAGTGCAATTACACGACCTTAAGGAGACGAGGTCAGATCGTACCATCGGTTCAGTGTCTCCAAAAGATGACAACTTAATCTCCAATGGAGAAAATGCCGACCGGAGCCCCAACTGCATGAAGTCACCCACCTTAGGGAGGAATGACAGACTTCAGAAGAGAAAAAAACCCCATCATCTTTCTCTCGGTTCATGGCTTCTTTCATTTGTTGTGTTGTCTTCTCTATTTGATCGGACTTTGATTTTCATCTTAATTTCATCCATTTATGTCTCGTTCCCTATTAATTATTCCTTCCTACAAAATATATCTTATGTGCATAAATCTGTCATAGAGAATTCGAAAAATAACAAATAATCTACTTATAATTCTCATGAAATATAGCTCACATAGTGTGCTATTAAGTAGCCATTCAGAGATCCACCATAACTCAAAAGGCACTAGAAGACTTTGTGAAAATTCGAAAATCAAAAGACTTTAAGTTGGATCGTCTTTTCACAAAGCCGAAGAACTTCACCAAGCTAAACTATATGACCAACAAAATTATCTTCCATAACTTATTAGGTGAACAACTATGAAAAATCGCGTAAAATGAAATAACTAGACCCAACACGAAAGTCTTATTACTTTCGAGATACAGATTGACTGCCACATGATCATTATCAATTTAGTCGAATCTCATCAAGAGAGTGTCCATTGTTTTTCAATATACTAATACAGATTTCTAAAAGGAGTAGGATATTGTTTTCTTATAAGGATATAATATTGTTTTTCATATAAGGATCAGAAAATTTGAGAGAGCCCTTTTGTTTAGGTTTTGTTTATGTGTTGTTGTACATCAAAGTGGTGGCTGAACGTGTAGGTGCATGAATTTTCAGAGGGCAGCGGCGGTGGCATTTGACAGAGTTTTAGAGGCGAGATCTCAGAGTTGTAGAGCATCATCGACAACCTATTCTCAAGGGTATTTGGTGAGATTTTGCATTCCTGTTTCCTAGAATTCTATTATTGTAGTTCCTAGAAGCTAGGTGGCTTTTGTCGAGGCCTCTAGATTTGAGAGATTACTGTATTTGCCCATTGTATCATCCTAAAATCATAGTAGAACTTGTTGTCGTAGAAGACTAGACGTAGCCCATGGTTGGGATAAACCAGTATAAATTTGTTTGTCTTGTTTCTATGTTTTCCCTATTTTCTCTAATTATTGTGGTTGGCTTATTTTCATTAACAAATTGTGGAAGTGGAAAATATTATTGGTAAGTAATTTTCCCATTCAAGTGGTATCAGAGCAGTAAGGTTCTGTGTCATGGGATCTAGTGGAAAGTCACATCACTAAATCGATGAGGTTTTGAGATTTGATGGAAAAATTTTCGGGTGTTGGAAGATGCAAGTGATAGATCTTCTTACATACAAGAAGATACACAAAACACTCAAAGAATGACTGGCTACTGGGATGATAGACAAGGAATTGGTGGAGATTGATGAACATGCCTTGCGATCATCAAGTTGTAGTTGTCGATGAATGTGACAAGTCTTGTAGTGAGTCAGAAAATAGTGATGGGATTGATGAAGGTGCTGATGGATAGATATGAAAAACCCTCTACCAATAGTGAGGTGTATCTCATTACGAGATACTTTAGCATTCATATGAAGGAAGGCGCGTCGATGAACTCCTGCATCAATGAGGACACTCAATTGATGAACTAGCTGGAGTCAATGGAGATCATTATTTCATATGAGGTGAATGCTATAAAGTTGTTGTCTTCTTTGTCTAAGATTTGGGAAACAATGAAGACGGTGGTGTCGAATTCATTGGGGATAAGAGTCTGAAATTCTCAGATATCTGTGATGCTGCAATTGCTGAGTAGATTTGCAGTAAATGAAGTGGGAAGAATTCTGTATCCACTTCTGGTAGGAAGAACTCTATGGAATTACGTTAGTAGTGCATAACAAAGGCAAAGGTAAAGACAAAGGGAAGATGAGATATGAGAAATAGCAGGAACATAGCCAAAAGAGTAGGAGTAGTGAGATTGAATATTTTTATTGGCATGGGAAAGGCCACTTCAAGAAACACTACAAGAAGCTTAGAGAGAGTAAGGAAAAGAAAGTCTAGACAAATGTGGTGTTAGATGACATGTTGTTAGCTTGTGTTGATAGCGACACGATATTTGTGGATTCATCATCAGAATAGGTAGTGCAGTGCAGCTTTGGTACATGTATCTCCAGACAAAAGTTGGTTCACATCCCTCATTACCTACAATCATGGCATGGTGAGGACAAGGAATGAGAGACTTTCCAAGGTCAGAGGAATTGAGGAGTTGCGTTTGAGGACTGATAGTAGGATCGAGTTAGTTTTGCATGGTGTCAGGTATATACCCAGTTTTAGGATGAATTTGATATTAATGGGGAAGTTGGATGATAAAGGCGATAGAGGTGAGTTTACAAAAAACAGGTGGAAACTCATGAGGGGATATGAGGTAGTGGTTGTTGGCCATAGAGAAGCTTCAGCGTATGTGTTGAGGTTTGACATTGCTAGAGGATCGGAGAAACATGTTATGCACAAGGCTGCAGATAGTTAAGGGGGAGACTTGAAATAACTAGCAGCATTGACAGTCACGACAAATTATGAGAATCTACCATCGCTTCAAGTAAAACAGTTGGGAAATAGAGGAAAGGGAAAGGGAAATAGCTCAGCGAGTTTTTTAGTAGACTGTCAGGATAATGTCCCAGTTGTCAGGTGAATTAACGAGCTGATGAAGTCGCATAGGCAAACAAATGTAGTGAGGAAACATACTACAGTTGGTGCTGAGGTCGAGGGTGATGTCTCTAGAGTGGCAATGGACTTGGGTAGCAGTGCTAAGTCATCAGAGGGAAACCTTCCTTTAAAGGTCGTTGGGTTCGATCGAGGAAGGAAAACATAAATGCAAGAAAAAGAGGAAACTGCATCGGGGAACACTTAGATCAAGTGGGAGCACGTGGCTGTGTCTCTAGTGTCTAGGAGACAAAACTACGTAGGATTGCTTAGTCTCGGAGCAATAACAGACGGAGTTTGGTTGGGGCCGAGCAATTGTTGATCAGTTACTGTTGGTGCAGTTAGAACTGTGCCTTGGTGGGGTTGCCAAAATGATGAGACACTATTTGTGCAGTAGGAGGCAGGATCAATGTTTTATCTACAAGTGGGAGATTGTTGGGATAATGTAGCCAAAACAGGAAACTCATGTCTTACGAAGAAAATGATTTTCAACACTACTACAAATTCCTATAAGGGGTAAGATATTTTTTTCTTATAAGGAATATAATATTGTTTTTCTTATAAGGATTGAGATATTTGGCCTCCTATAAATAGAGTCCTTTTGTGTAGGTTTTGTTTATGCGTTGTTGCACATCAAAGTGCTGGCTAAATGTGTAGGTGCACAAATTTTTAAAGGGCAGTGGCTGTGGTATTTGATAGAGTTTCAAAGGTGGGATCCCGAAGTTGTAGAGCATCATTGGCAACCTATTCTCATGGGTATTTGGTGAGGTTTTTCATTCATGTTCCCTAGGATTTTATTTTTGTAGTTCCTAGAAGCTAAGTGGCTTTTGTCGAGACCTTTAGATTTGAGAGATTATTATTTTTTCCTATTGTGTTATCCTAAAATCATAGTAGAACCCGTAGTCATGAAAGACTGGATGTAGCCAGTTGAGGTAAACCAGTATAAATTTGTTTATGTTATTTATGTGCTTTCCCCA